TGCTAGAGCCGTGCGTGGGGCGAGGGCGTCCCAAGTTACTCTGGCAAAGCCCCTGTGTGCTTTTAGTGATAGCGTGAGAGGAGGACCTGGTCAGGTGTAGCCTCTTCTCCTGACGCCTTTAAAAAACCGAGCTGCCTTCATGCATGAGTTGTCATTAGAAATCTGGTTATTGGCAAAACCTGATGAGCAGTTGAATGGCTGAAGGTAAAAATCGAGAAGGGGTAGGAATTCTTGCACTACTATTTCTGTTAGCTGCTCTCGTTGGTTTGTTGCTGGAATTAATCACTTTTTTTTGCTGTTCAAAGCCTTGCTCGGGCAAAGGCTTGTGTAAGGACAAATGCTGGCTACAGCAGGCTGCTTCCAAATCATCCTGTGGGTCTTGGGGCAGGATTTTCAGTTGTGGGACAGTGCCGGGAAAATGAATTTGAACTTGAAAAGACTGCAGTTGGGCTAAGGTGGTTCTTTTTGGTGAGAAAACCGTCATTTAGATTTTGCCTGGAAACTGAATGAGGGCTATGCCTGCTGGGAAAAAAAAAAACCCAACCAAACCACCAAAAACCCAAACACAACAAACCACAAACCTTTGCAATTTAATTTTAAGATAAGTATCTCTGTCGTGATTACATAAGTCAAATAAGACTTTTTTTCAAAGCGAACTGGAGGTAAAACTGCAGTATTCTCATGACTTGTCTTTATGAGTAATTTGAGTGGGGCTTTGCACAGATTGCCAGCCAGTATCCAGATACTTGCACTTTTAAAATGCCTAGTTATAGTAAATACTAAATGAAGGGTTTTTTTTTCAGGAGATTAGGATATTATCCGATGTTAAGGTCAAAATAAGACTTATGAGGGTGGTTTATATAGACTAAAAACTGCCTTGACTTTGATTAAATATCTTGAGACCCTATAAGTAAGAGGACTGCAAATCAGGGAGTTAAGATTATTACAGGGTATTTGGAGGGGGGGGGGTATTTTGTTTGTCTTTAATTTTATTTTGATGCTATTTCTGGTAAGATGATTGAGTTAATGTTGAATTATGTTTGATCAAAGTAAAATGCTCAGCACCTGTACTAGTTAACACAGAGAACTGCTAACTCAAGGAACCATTACCTTTCATAAAGGGTAACTCCCCCAGCTGGTGTTATATGACTTTGACTCTTTTGTTAGTTAGTAGTGTTTAAGTCTGAAGAAGTGATATATTATATTGTCTCTTTCAAGTGTGCATTTTGTTTATTCATAGGTGCTTAGAGAGTCTTTGATTGACTTTTTTTTTTCCATAAAAAAAGGTCTCTAAGTCATTTTTCCTCAAATAGACTAGAAATATATAAACTAGAACTGCCACTGGGGGTTGGAGGTATTCCTTGGCACATAAAGAAGTTTAAGCTATGAATTTAGGTTAATTAATTAATCAAGATAAAAATGGAGCTTTTGGGGGTTTTTTGCAGTCCTTGAAAATTAAACTGATAAGATGCTGTCGTCTGGACTTGACAGATGTTTCTGGATTCTCACTACTGCTGCTCCTCCCAGTTTTTCCCAGTAGCTGTAGGGCTAAATTGACAGGACTCTGTCAAGTAACTGCAGTTGATTACCACAGGGAAATTTAAACAGTTCTGATAATTCTACCTGGCCCTTGCAAAAGCTGCCAGCACCTTCCATCATGGGCATGGCAACAGCTCTGAATAGAGGGATCCAAAAACCAGAACTGGGTAATGATAGTGGATGAGAAGCAGCTGAGAGACTTGTAGAGATTTCTCATCAAAATACAGTCATTACATCTGTAAAAACCTCCTTTTTTAAAAATTACAGTGTAGTCTTGTGCCTGTTTGATGGGCAAGTCCTAAGCAGCTACGAACAGGAATATTCAGGCTTTTCTTACTGCAATATCTCATTTAAGAGTATTGTACTAAGATAACAGGGGGTTTATTAAAACTGATTTGATTATTTTGTTTCCAGTTTGAAGATAAGCTCTATCGAGTATTTCCTGTCTGTGGTCTTGTCTTTTGATAGAAAAATCTCATGTTGTTGATAACAGGAAAAAAGTGGCAATTTAAGGGATTTATGCTTTTCTTAGTATCTCGATGGGAGGAAAACCCCCAAAACTATGAGAGCTTATTGTTCTTATATTTGCTTTATACAGATGTCTCACTTTACAAGTGAAGATGAAGCTCTGTTACAGTCTATGCTTAGACAGTTGCTGCGGAGTGTGAAGGAAAAAATCACAGGAGCCCCATCAGTAGAATGTGCAGAAGAGATTCTCTTACATTTGGAGGAAACAGATGAGAATTTTCACAAGTAAAAATGCTTTTGCTATTTTCAGTATTTTGAAGGAGGTGAAATGTGTTGAACTATTATTCCTGGGAAATGTTAACAATTTATATTGCTGTGTGAATGTGTTTGTATTTATATATATGTCACTAATCAAATCTCAAAAGATGCTGGTTTAGAGAATAAAATTAATTTTGCCAGTTTTTTTGGTTTTTAAATTTTTTTTTACGCTCTTGGTAATGTATTTTTACTGTGATAGTAATTGGTGATGTATTTATGAGAGAGGGACTTACTTAGCTACCTAACTTAGCCAACTCTGATGCATGTGTACATGTGATGTACTAAACGAACATGCAGAGAAGCTAGAAGAAATCGTCACTGAAGGCTATCTGGCAGTGTTTTTGACAGCTGCTAGACAACATAATTTTGGTTTTCAAAATAAGGTAAATTTTCAGAAGGCTACTTGGCTTCCATATTTCATTATTCTGTCTGGCTTATATTACTGAACCCTTGTATATCTTATCAGGTAGTCAGTCTTTTAATTTATGTTTTGAATAAAGCAGAAATGTATCCCCATCACACTTATGTATAAATCAGACTTGACAAGGTGACCTCACTTACATGCAACCTAGAATTCTGGAGCCCACACTCCTCTTTTCTTTTCATGGTATTGTAACTTGTTCTTTTTTTAACTACATGGGAGATTTAAGTGTGCGTTTATGACAAGTCAGGAGACTATCAAGCTGAAATGACCTTGAAGACATTTTAATAAGGACCAGAGTTCTGTGACCTGACTTCTTCTGAGAAAGCTAGTTCCTTGGCATTTTTTTCAGAAACAGTACTACCTACATTTTCTCTTCAATTCATCTAGTTTTTAGCATTGCTATGTCAGTGGTAGAAGTTAGGTAAAAGTAAATAAGTGAAATAGAACTAGGGTTTATTTAAAATTTCACTATAATATTAAAACTTTCATGCTTTTGTATCTTCTGAAAGTGCTAAATACTTTAAACTGTATTTTAGCTCAATTTCAGTTTTTATTACAAATTGTATCTGATAACGCTTTTGTTGGTCTCTTGCAAATTTTGAGCACCAGGTTACTGAATGACAAACATGAGAGTGAAAAAGTTGTTTATAAGCATATCAAAGTTGAAAATTACATGTAATTTTGAAAGGAAAAACATTTTTATTTAAAGGAAGATATACACAGTAAAAAAGCCCAAACAACCAAAAACCCATGTAGTTATTTCTGACAGTATTTCTTCTGAGGACTGATTAGGAGAATACCCAGGATGAGGGAGTAAAGTCTACAACTGGTGGAAACAATGCATACATAGCTTTCCTGTTTAGAACAGTGAAACAACGGCATCCATTACTCTTTCTGGTATGTTAAAAAATTGGTGATCCTAAGGATACTTAATTTTCATGAGAAAGTTTTAGCTTGCATTTAATGGGAAATCAAGTGATACTTTAAATGCAGAATGTAAGCATTACTCTCTGGTGCTGGTCTGTTTCTGGAGATATTCTAGTCTTGTTCATGACCCACGACGGTATGGGTTGGTTTTCGTGGAAGGTCAGAGAAGTTGTATGGCGATTTATTAGTGAGACCGTTAAGAAACTTTGTCCTTGACCCTTACCCCATCCATCCAGACTGCAAGCTTCTTTATTAGCGTATGTGCTTTTGGATTGTCCAATACACTAGTTCAACTCAGCACTTTGATCAGCACCATTTCTACCTCATGGTTATTTTGCCTCAGTAATGTTATCAGATTTTGAGGCCTTACTTTGTCCTTTATTCCCACTTTGATGTAAAAAAGACAGAGACACAGAATCCTCAAAAAGCTAATAAAAAGGAAAATTGAATCAAGTGCAAAATTTATGTGCAGTAGTAGAAATCAGGATTTTTAACTATATAAGTAGCATGTTTTCTGTTGTATTTTTTCCTTGAAGTCCTAGAGTTTTTTAACACTTCGCCCCCCCAGTGCTTCCTTTCTAAGCCCAGCCACATCAGTCTGACTGGATTCTGCATGTGAAGAAGTAGTTCTATCATTGCTGAAACACTTCTTTGTTGCAAAACATTTTTAAGATGGAAGAATGATGCAGAAGATCAAGGCTAGGACATGAAGCAGATATAAATTTAGTGGCATGAATAATGATGTGAATTGCTGTGTATTTCAGAGTGAAGCAGTCACTGCAAAAATGTACACCCTGGAAATGTTACCGTAATAAAACAAATGGGAGAAAGTTTTATGAAAGCTTTCATTCTGCGGAGAGTCATGTGCAATTTCATTATTGCAGAACTAAAAACCCAGCCTTGAAGACAAATGAAAATGCGAATAAACATGTTTGCATCTTTCTTGAGATGTATTTCTGTTACTGTCATTGAGAACAAAAGTGATGTAGGAATGGAAATAAGTGGAAAATGAAGGGAGGGGAAAAACAAAATAACTGTTACACCTGATAGAAGTTGAGATAGGCAATCCAGTGAGAAGTATGTATCATGATACAAGACACAATTTTCTGTGCTTATTTTTTTTTAATGCATCTTGAATGTAGTCAGATTTTTTTTTTTAAATATCCAAGAAAGGTAAAAGCTGCTACCTGTTTTAATAGTTGCTTTTATTTACATTTGCATTTTATAGCTTTGGAATTTGTACCTACATGGTGAACTGACTTTTTTTATTTGAATTTTTCTCACTCTGTATTTATCCAAATTAACACAAAGTAGCTACACATAAGCATTTGATATAATGAAAATATAATGATGCATCAACTGTTTATGTATGATTACTTTTTTGTGTGTTTCTGTTTGCCGTGTCCTTTATAGAGATCAGAAGACTAACAAAAAAATTTATATATTCTGAACAGTACTTTTTAGCAATTTCTATAGCTAATACAGTCTGAGGACTCAACGAGAGTCCTTCGTTTGAAATCCCCTTCTGATTAGTCTTTCGTTTAAACAAGTTTCTGTGAGTATCTAATGATAAGAGCGCAAAGTACCAATTTCCTTATTTTTAACGTGTACAGATGGTTAGTTTGTCGGTTTGAGTGAGATCTTCTGCATGCTGTCATGACACACAGACTTTCATAAGACTTAGACATGCTCAGGTGCTAGAATTTATAAATTGCATTTTCTGTGTTTCTTGTTTTGTATGTATACTGCATAAATAATAATACCAGATGGGTATATCGTAAGACAGTGCTATGTTCATGATACTCCAAGTAATGTTTCTTTTGGAATTTCAAATTTGAGATTTCTTGATATTCTATGATTTTTGTCTGCAAAACCTTATCCTTTTGTCTGAGTAGATTTTTACATTTCAAAGAAGCACAAAAGGAAATTAGAAACTATTTGGTATTGTTTCTTCCTGGAATATGCTCATAATGACCATATTGAAGAAAAGCAAACTTTTTTTTGCATCAGTCATAAATGCTTACCTTAAAGTAACAGGTCTGCTGGAAGAGAAGGTAATGAATGTTAATATAATGTTGAAAATGTTTGATGGTGAGCTCGAGGAAATCTGTTACATTTTAATTTTGTATATTTGTTGCAGCTATGAGTTTGTGAAATACCTAAGACAATATATAAATAATACTGTGGGATCTGTGATTGAAGAAGAAACAGAAAAATGTACTTCTGCACAAAATCAGGGTGAAGTATCTGGCTATGACATGCTTGTCCAACATGTTACTAAAAAGACTCGTGAATCAAAAGAGTGAGTATATACGTGTAATTCACATTTTTGTTTCTTCTTGGTCTTTGTCTTCCTTTCTTCTTTACAGAACTTGTTTTGAAAAAATAAAATCTGAACCAATGGGTGACAAAGGTGATTCTTTGCTTTCAAAAATCAGTGCTAAGCAATTCGAATATTCCCATCCTACATTGCAATTGTCATGCTTCATCTCACTCTGGAGTTAAGATTATGAACTATTGCATAAAAAGATCGGTAGCAAATCTTTGAAGTTTTTGAGGTATCTAGGACTGGAGTTAGGCAGGGGTAAGATTAGCTGCAAATTAAATTCAGTTGTGATATGGAAGTTTACCAAAAGGAAAAATTGGTCTTATCAGGTATTAAAGTTTAATAATTTCCTTAGGTATAAATGGAGAGTCTGCGTGACAATGTTGTTTTGTTAAAAAAAAAAATAAATTATTAGAATACATGTGTGGTTTTTGAAGATTGCTTCCTTGGGATCTGGCCAGGTGTCCTGTGAGAGTAGTAGCTTTAGTCAGGTCTGTTTTCATTGACTGGTATAAAAATTGAAGTTTGAGCTGTCTTGCTTTGTGTTTTAGTGTACATGCAAAAGTACTTCTGCAGTACTGTCTGTATAATGTGGAATTGGTATGTGGACCAACTGTATAATTATCCAAGATTTTTTGACCTAGACTGTCGGATGGCCAGAAATCAGTAGATGTGCAAAACCACGTCGGCATATTACAGGGTCTGTGGTCCAGATTAATTGGCTTTGAACACCATATTTGGTAAAGAAGCCTTAAATAGAAAAACCTCTGTGAGTACCAGTTAAATTCTTTTCTTAGTCATCTCTTCCCTACTAACTTTATTCACTTTACTATGGACATCAAAATAACTTTTTCTTGGAATGCATAGGCTGGTAGCTCTCTTACTGAATTTTCATGCTTTGGATTTTGAATTTGCATAGGCAGATAATTGCTGTGATTTTTTTAAAGCAGTGATCAGTAGTACTTATAAAATGGATTTCAGTATATACAGCTGTTATTTCCAGAAAATATGTAAGACTTCAGAAGTTTAGTCTGTGCATCACATCATTTTTGGAATTTCTGTACAAGATCTAGCTACATCACAATGCTTAAAGCAGTTCTAAGAGTATTGTTTCTTTAATTAAGACAGTATACTTTTGTCATCATAGTGAATCAGATCCTTGCCTGTCTATTTTTAATTGTCAGAGAAAGCCATGATGAGATCTTTACTGAGGCTGAACCATTACAATGTGAAAACAATGAAATTAAAATGAGCACCTGAAATGGTGAATGTTGAAAAATGAAACCCAACTGACCAACCTCTCACTATTTTAGCATCGGTGGTCGTTTTTACGTGTTAGAGGAAGAAAACAAAAAAGACAATTTTGTCTTGTATATTTGAACTACTAAAAAGATTTTATACACTACTTCAGCTGAACTATTTTTTTTACTCATTTTTATTGCATAATCTTAATTTCATCTCCATCTCTCTTTTTAGTGGAACTAGGATTTTGTTGTGATGCCTGTGTTTACTATGTGTCCTCAGTAAGAAAGGAATTAAAAAACAGTGTATTTTTCTGTTCTAGAAGATGGTATTTTCTGTTTGTTTTCAGAAGGTTTCTTATCTAGTATACAGAAATATGTTTTATGAACCATGCTTTTAAAGGGTCCTTTTCTTGTCACCTGTCTGCAAGCATCCTGAACTCTGATCTTGCATTATCGGATCTCACTGTGATGGTCTCAGGATCATTCAAGGTTCCAGTTTTGCTCATTGCGATTACTAATTTTCTGTGGTAGGTAGTATATTTAAAGGTATTCATGGAGAAAAATGTGTTAAGGAATTTAACACCTTAGTGATACATTCTGTATTTTCGTAGTACAGTTATTTATGTTAGAAAGCAGTTCTTAGTCATCTATACTTGGCTTTTATTTTCACCTGGAAATCAGATGTTGGGATGACTGTTTTTCAGATTATACTGTTTGTGGCCCTTTGTTTTGAGGATCAGGAGCTTAGGCTTCTTGTGTTCGTTAAAGTTGGTAGAAGAAACTCCAATGAACTAAATATGTCTGTATCTTACATTTTTAATTTGAGAAGTAGGAGGATATAAAGCACAGTGTGGTAGTTTGTGACCGTAAAATAAGTAATAGTAGCCTTAAAGTAAAAAAAAAAATTGAAATAAAATACCAACATTTCACAATAGGATGTTTTTATGAAGCAGCTTTTATTTTGAATTGTTTTCCTGTGGATATTATTGTTCAATTTATGTAACTTAGAAAAATGACGGTTTTGTTGAGAGAAACTTGTTATGTGTGCATGACCTGTACTCAAAATCTTGAATCGGGATGATGTGGTCTCTTCTGTGGGTTCTGCTCGAGGCTCATAGCAGAAGAAAAATTGAGTGTTGAACTTCAAGAGTAAAGAGTAACAAGGATGAGAACTGGCCTGTTTTCTCAGGGACGCATTCTCTGTTTTGGTGGATTCACATTATTCTTTTCTAGGAACCTCTCAGAACAGGATTATGTTAGTGGTTTTTCATTAAATGGTTTTAGAAGGGCAAAAAGGAGTTATAATAAAATTAAAAAATATAGTTATTTGAAACATTTAAGGTGCATACCTGTTTTGTTGCTTGTTTTGGATTTGCATTTGTCTTTTGTTCATTTCTGTAAATTCAGTGAGTTCAGATCCAAGTAGTATTATGCTATATTCCTTACTCAGGATTTAGTGAAATTTTTTTTTAATTAGTGATTTTAATGCTTTTTAATATTAAAATAATCTTTACTTTAAAGATACAGAGAAATGATGCATGCCTTGAAGAATGTCATGATGGTTGTGGTAGAATCTTTGATTAACAAGTTTGAAGAAGATCGGATGCGTGATAAGGAGCTGGATAGGAAAACAAAGAAAGAACGTCAGAGTGGCTATTATACAGACAACTGTTCTGACAGTGACTCCTCCTTCAACCAAGTACAATGTGTTTTCTCTCTATGTTATGAAATAAGCATGGTACTGCAAAATTGTTAAGTTTCTGTCAGTGGAGATTGAGATCAGCCCTAGAAAAAAGAGTCATCCTTCCTATCTTTGGTATATCCTAGAATGAATTAATTACCTTTCTTTCAGTCTGAATTACTAAGCTTATACTAGCTATCTAACCTTTAGACAGCATATGCTAGATGAGATTAGTATGATGCCCATATGCTGTAAAGTACCTATGCAAGTACTGCATAGGAAAAGATAAAATAATGGTAAAAGCAATACATCATTTAACTCTTTGTGATTTTACTTTAGGAGCCAAGTGGTGTGCAGTTAATTTCCAGACTGCTGCACTATGCTATATTACTTACTGAATGAATTATTATAAGGGATTTTATGATGATACAGGAAACTTTTAAGTAAAGTGAAGCAAAATACATAGTGGTATTTTTGTTGCTGTAAGTTTAACTTCAGGCAAATGGCAGGATACATTTAGAATGTTGACTTTAACATTAAATTAGTATAAATGTTGAAGTCCTAATTATGAAAAATAAATTAGATATCAGAAAGACTGATGATTTTAATCTTCTGCTGTTCAGTTTAATAAAACATACTAATGATCATTTTATAATGTGCATTACAGAGCTATACATTCATGAGTCAAGAACAACTGCAGCTGCTTGTAGAAAGGCTTGACCCTATTCAGCCTAAGGAAGTAAGTTTGAAAGAAGAAATAAAATGTTGATATAAATGAATGTTGGTGGCATATTAGAAAACAGACTGTATGTACATAAGAGTTCATATGTACCTAGGTGGAATCTTGTCTCTGTTGGTTCATAGATCTTGGCTTCAGTGCAGCAGCTGCCCTGCAGGGCAGTATTTCATTGTTCATAGCCATCTGGTTCAAAAGCTAGTGTTGCGGCAAGGTTTTTTTTTTGGTTTTTGTTAGGAGTTTATGTGCTATAGGTGGGCGTTTTTAGTTTGGAAAAAGTTGTTCTGTGAGAAATAAAATTATTGAAGCTTATTTTCCTGTATATATGCCCCTTGCCCTCCTTGGTAACTTCTGTGTTGTCCTTTGTGTTACCACTAACAAAAGAGAGAGATGCCTGCTGATTTGCCAACAAGCTCCTGCAAGATGAAATATATAAAGTCCAAGTTCAGTTTGCCTTCCTGTCAGTGGCAGAACTACTTTGGGTCCTTAACCACCAGTCAGCTCTAACTGCTGGTATTTTTGAATCTTGGAGAAACAACATTTTGAGAGTGCTGTCTCAGTAAGATTTGGTTGGGATTATCTGGCATTTGAAAAAGGCATGGTAGGTAGGAACTGGTATATACATTGTGATCGAATTTTATTAGAAAACCGGGTAAAAATCTGATGCTATTAAATATTGTTAAAATTTCCTACAGTTTCAGTACCATGAAATAAATTACTAGAGATTACAGTTGTCTACAAATAGAACAAAAAAAAAAGTTATTTGAAATTATTGAGATTATAATGCTGATGAAAATTCAGCAGTAAAACATAGTGTCTAATAACTCTGTTTCCACTTTCCTTTAATGACATTTTAGAGATCTGCTAGGCACATTTGTATTTGGTGATAGTTTCCTATATTCCTTGATAACAAAATATTTGATTACAAGCAGAAAGTAGAACATAGCCGTCGCATCCAGTATTGAAAACCTGTATAAAATGGTTTTGTTACTTCTTCGAATACATGCTTATTTTTTTTGCTCAGTGATGTAGTGTTATGTCCAAATTACCATAAAAACATAGCAGAAGACATGTATTCTGAAATTCCTTATCTTTTCTACAGCCAGGTCCTGTTCCTTCCTTCCTCCAAATTTTATTCTAAATTACGTATTTGAGAGGTTGCTGTGAACGGATTTGTGATGTTTATCTTTTTCACCACTTCAGGTTCGCCAAGAAGCATTGCAGACACTCTGCTTTGCCCCTGCTTCTGATATACTGAACTCTGAGAGTTGGCCAAATCTGCGTAAACATCTAATGATGTCTCTCTCAGATCCTGATGCAACATTCAGTGTAAGCTAATGTTCTGTATTTAGTTATCAGATGTGTAGCCATAGCAAAGAGTACTGAAGAGGAATAAGAAGTTACGTATGTGTTATGAGTAGTCCAGCGAGTCCCAAGACATTTTATTATTTGTGTATGTATCACATAAACTCTTTTTGAAGTAAAAGAACTGTATGATTCCAGTAGGTCTTGATTTAAAGGATTACAACAGGATTTCAATAGAATTTTTAGAGTCTGGAGTACTCATTTGCATATCTTTTAGTGGGAATGAAGAGGTCTGAATGACTTTTAGCAAACAGATGTGTAAAAAATTGACAATGCTGTTCTGTAAAACATGTCATGTTAATATTTCTTATTTAAGTCAGGTATATGCTCCATGGTGATGAGAAAATGATACATAATAATATTACACAGGCACTGAAGAGGAAAAAAATGGCAGCTGCTTAAACTACTTTTAGATTGTTTATTATGCCAATTAAGCCTTTTTTTCTTTTTCTTCGTATTTTAAAGTAATTACCAAATAAATATAAAAGTTGCCCCAGCTGCTGTCATGTATTTCTCTTTCAGCTTAGGTCTACAGTTTCTTTTAAAATAGTGCTAGTTACAAGTGACTGGTACGTTTAATAACATAAAAACATTAATGTTAATGGAAAAGTACAGTGATATTCCCTGATCTACTTTGTATCTCAGTGAGGCTTTGCATTGGTACTGTCAGTTAAAGTATTCGAGTAAAATTTTCTTTGGACTTTAGGTTTCTGTGGTCCCAAACTGTGTATTTTTATAAAATATGCTTAACATCTGTAGAGGTATCTGAGCAATATATAATATCAAGAATAATACCACTACATTGTTTATTGTACAATAATAATACACAGTTACATGACTGTTTAATACATTGCTTGCTTTTTCTCCCTTAGGAGAAAATTCTTAGGTTCTATGCAAAAACCTTTTCGTCTTCTCCATTTAATATGACAAGAGATGTTTATACAAGTTTAGGTATGTGCATTTAATTACATTTAAGACTTCATGAGTCATGTAATTCCTGAAAATCAGTTAACTTTTATAATGAAGCTGTATAGTATGGTCTGTTTTACCACTATTGTCATGGAGGTGAGTTTTGTGGTTTTTTTCCTTCCTTTTTTAGCAAGACACTTGGAGTTGCACTTTCTTTCTGGAGAATACTCTCTTCGTATTTCAGCTGGTCTGGATGTATCTAACACAGATATAAATAGTTTACTTAAAAAGGTATAAATGAACTTTCTTTACCTTTTTTATCATTACTGAAACACCATGCATTTTTTATTTTTTAATTTTATTTATTATGTTTTCAGGTCCGCCTTTTAAATGAGTATCAAAAGGAAGCTCCATCTTCCTGGATTCGTCATCCGGAAAAGTATGTCACCTTCAAAAACCTGTCACTGTTTTTTAATGTAAAGATTTTCAATATATAATTAGGTACATATAACTTTATGAAAGGGTCGATTACAGGATGCACAAATGACTGGTCAGTGATAAGGGGGGAAATAATAATGGAGGCTGGGAAAAGTGGAATAGGGAAGTTGCATAGGAGTAGTCATGGGTCATATTAATCTGCTTACTTAGCTTTTGAAGTGTTCCAAGTGCTTTTTAACAAAAATAATGTTTTTACAAAGTAACAAGTGTAATATTTAGCACTTATAAAATATGTAATTAGGAGAATATACATGTATGTTAGTAGTAGTTTTATTCATGGTAATACAAAGAATTAATATCCTTACAAGATCAAGTTAATGTTGTTGATATTTATGATTTATCTGAACAACAAGGTTTTACAAGAAATTTGTTCCTGAATATTACTGGTGGAAACATTTAAGTGATTTTTGGTTTCTGTTCATTTTTTCCTATTTGTGTCATAAGGTACATGGAAGAGGTAGTAGAGAGTACCTTGTCACTTTTGTCAGTAAAACATGAGCCTAATCATCCTGCCTCTCCAGATTTTTTGAGTCCAGTCTACTTCTTGGCTCTGCTAGATATCAAAGCAGTATGGTTTAAAAAGTGGACGGTAAGCAAAAACCCAAGAACCCGTAACTTGTCCATGTCTGACATATATTTTGGAAAGTTTGATTTTTGACTATTATTATCACAAACCTATTGTGTCCTGATAGCAACCTTTAATAAACACTGTAATTAAGGAAGACTGGGTTTTTTTTTTTTTTGGCGTTTATGTCCTTTGCCCTTTAATACTTCTCTCTCCCTTTATTTCTATTCAGTTACTAGTTTTCATGAAGCTTCTGAGAACTTACTGCGCTTTGTGACTTCAGTCACTTTGTCATAATTGACTGACAGCCATCAAGAGATGCAAATATTTTGCTGGAAGAAGTGATGAGCATGAAAGTACAGCTATATGCTGCACACAACTTGCTAACCTCCAGTGGATGTTACAGCTTTTTGCAGCCTACCATATATAAACTTGCAATTTAGGATTTACATGACAATGTCAAAATACATAGTTTAACATTTCAGCATAGTTATTGTTTTTCTGTTTTAGTGCATGTTCTGCTACGCATTTTTCTAATGACATAATTTTTTTTGTCATCTTAAAAGTACTGCAAACAAAAGGCTCAATTGAGTATAATACTGGTTTAGATAAGCTGGAGTTTAATACATTAAATATGTACTGTGAACAGGATCCCTAATAGAACAGAATCAGAGATAATTTCTACTTTTTTAATTAAAAAATAAAACTTATATGCTTGAAGTTAACATTAGGTCTTCTTTGTCATTTTAGCATGCATATTACAGCAGAACAGTGGTACTTAGGCTTTTGGAAAAGAAATATAAATCTTTGGTAAGTATTTCCCAAGGCAAATTTACTTGGAACTTATTCTTGCTTTGCACATTGTGGTTTGAACATTTTTTCCCCCTTTTTTCCCTTTTGTTAGAGCAGTTCCATGTTTATCTAGCTGAGCCTTTTGGATTTAAATTATTATTATTTTTTTAAATTTCTCTTTGCTTGAATGAATCATTGGTAAATGCAAAGAAGGGTACGTGACCAGCTCTAAGTAAGGGGAAATTTGGATGTTTTATAGCAGGTGTTTAATCAGGATTGTTATTTGTGCCATGCAACAAAAAGTTTATAATAGGAAGTCCACAAGCAGGGTAGTCTAATCTATTTTATAAAAATAGAGTAAACGTCTAATAAAGTATTTTTTTATGTGTATGTCTGTATGTTTTAGTTACGCTTGTGAATAAATGTTAGCAGCTCCAAACTGTAATAAATCTAAATGTACTTCTTTGTTCGTATGTTATATTTGTGGTTTCTTTCTAAATCCACCCTAAGAATTTTTAAGCTTTTATATACATTGATTAGATGATAATGCTATGATAATGATACAACACTTCTGCAAAGAACAGTAATAGCACTGACAGCACCCGGCAGCCAAACCTAGTTTAGTAAGTGTATTCAAGACCAAGTTTTTCATGTGTGGAAAATTAAAACCTTCCATAGTAATGACAATATGGCAATCAGATTGCCATTAACTTCCCAGAATACTTGCATGTTCTCTGTACTCTTTTTCATAGGTTGTCTTAGAGCTTATAGAGCTTGTAGTGTGATAATATAATAATAATGGCAATGTATTTTAATAGCCCTGTAAAATTTTGCCTCCTGTTGGTTAACCCATCCAAAGCACTGAAACATGAAGTAATTGCAGTGAAGTGGATATTTAGGTTCTTGTGTTAAAGGACAGTACTTGGATACAAGAGAGAATGACTTTGTTGTAAAATACTAGGTATTTTATTATTTTGTGCTTTTTTCCACAGATTAATGCAGCTGTCCAGCAATGTCTTGATTATTTTGAATTTTGCAAGGCAGCAGTTAATAAAAATTCCAGAGTCAATGACTTCTCCCAGCAGCATTGTAGTGAGTATCTTTGCATGTTTTTCATTATATGCACATACATCTGCATTCTCTAGGTCTTTGAACATGCTGCCTCAAGAGGAAGACATTCTATCTGTTCTTTTTCTTTCCAGAATATTGTATGTCTGTCTTTTGAAAGAACACTAATAGCAGTAGTTAGTTACTTAAGTTGTCTGTCTTTATATACAAAATGATCCATGTACGTTGCAGGTAGTAGCTAGGTACTGTACAGTAAACCAAGAGTCAAGTTCTAATTTTTTGGTTTTATTGTTAAAGGTGATAAGCAGAACTTTTCTTACACTGGACCAGAATTGCAGTACATCTATTTTGTTCATTCACTGTGCCTTTTAGGAAGACTGTTGATCTATAAGCAAGGCCGAAATCTCTTTCCTGTACAGCTGAAAAATAAAAAAGGTAAGTGGAGGGCTGAGGAAAATGAAGCCTGTTGAGCAACACTTTATCTGTACTTGATAAATGTTTACACTGCAGTATTGTCGACATCATAGGAAAATACTCGAAACCTTTCTTGAAAGATGGTATAGGTAATTTTGAGCATCAGCACAGGTTTTTAGTCTTTGATAGATGTGGTTGAATAGATCATTTTTGTACTTAGGTTTAATATATTAATTTAATATTGAAGAAGAGTTGGATCAATGTGTAAGTGACTCTGTCTTTCTAGGTGTGAGTAATATTTTTTGCCAAACCAATTGATATAATTGGTTGGAAGAGAGGCATGTCCAGGGACCAAAACTGTTTTTCAGCTGTGAAACAAAATCAGTATTTCAAGCTAATTGCAAATTGAAAACAATTGCTCTGAGCTTAACCTATTAACATAATTAAGGTGAAACCATGGTAGAGGAAAGGGTCTGTACCTGTGGAACAGAGGTGTTGATAAGGACAGAAGATAAGAAATGGAGAAGCCCTTGGATATCTAGAGAAATCTGCATATGATGATACATTATGCAGGGTTGGCAAATGCAAGTATGTGAGAACAATTGTAGTGTTCCATTACATTAATATCTCTATTAAATTCAGTGTAGAATTCAAAACGTTGCTGGATAGTAATTCTGAGACGTGTGTTTTGAAGGTATTTTGTCCCTCTGGTTTGAGGATCAGGACTTAATAGATCCAATGTAGAACAGTTGTGAGGAAGAAACATCTACTAATGGAGCACTTTTGTCATTTATGGATTATCTGTGTAACACCATTCAAGCAGTGATCCGTTGGTGATGGTTGCTTTTTTCTCTCACTTACAAAAGTAACAGTCTCACCATCTGTCTTCTTAATAGTATCCTTCTCAGCTTCATAGATAGCAACTCTTTCCTCATAAATTGTCTCATTTATTAACATAATTACATTAAACTTGGAGCAATACTTCCTGACCTGCATTTAGCTACGTCTGTTCATTTTGTTTCTGACCTGAGGAAGAGTTGTCTGACAGCTTGTCTCTTTTTCCAGTTGTTTCACTTAATCTAATATCAAGGTAATACTTTTTCCTACAGCTGTGTATATTCAGCATTCTCAAACTTTGGCTGACATTTGTTTCAGTGGAAGACATGGTAAAATTGCAATTGACTGAATTGGGGGCAAGGTCAAGGCTTATAAGTTGATCATGAAATACCTTGGTAGCGTTTCAGGGACATACATGTCCTTTTCTTCTTCGGTTGTACATATGTTGATTTCCTCAATAAAGCAAGGCATTGGTTACATATATTTGCAAAATCCATTTTATTTGTAGAACTAAAGTTGCACTTTAATTTGTAGAGTACTTTCCTTTTTTTTTTTTTTTAATAGATAGTGTATCCGTAACCGATCTGTTGGTGTTATTTACTCAGCTTATTTATTACTCTCCAAGTTACTCAAAGACAGCTTTGGCAGCACATACAGGTAAATGTTTGTTTTAATACATGCTAATATATATAATTATAATGAGGCATGTGGTAACTTTTTTGCAATTTTTAATTTGAATCTGTTATTTGTGCAGATTTTTCTCTTCCCTTCATCCTTTACCTTTCCTTCTTCCCTCTGTGTTAAATCAGTGCTTAACAAAATTATAATTCGGAAGCATCTACATAAGCTGTATAAATATGTCTGTGTAAGTTAAAATATAAACAAATACTCCTTGTGTTCACCAGACAATTATTCTCCAGCAAGTCTTGTTATGGAGATTCTGCAAGTTTTTTGTGATCAAACAGGATGTGCTGCTGAATGTTTATATACGGATGCAGTGATAGATGCCCTACTTCATCCTGTTCAAAGTTTACTGAGTGGCACAGAGGTTTGTAGTAATCTTCCAAATAATTTTTAAATCTATAGAGTAGTATTATTTTTCTGTATCTTCTGTGTAGAATATTTATTTAGTCGCATGGTAACTTCTGTAGTATTTTCTACATTAGCTACTATAGTATACCTTAACTAGTGTAGGCTGTTGTTATGATTGGTCTGACAAACTTGGTTTTCTTGAAGTCTTGTGAATAGTAGCAAATATTGTGCTGTAGTGAGACCTGTCTCAAAAGGAAAGCTATGGCCGCACACGTGTCTGTCTTCAGCTGGGGTTGGGAGGTGCATATGGGGCTCCTTGGTTGTACGGTCGGCCTAATGAGCAAATGCATGCTGTTATTTTGTCTTTGAGCTCTGAATTCGCTCAGATAAGTGCAAGCCTTACTTGCTTTTTAAGCAGAGTAGTATTGTGTATCTGTAGTAGAGAGGGGAGAAGAAACTCCATGGTGATGAGCAGGAGTTGTCAGAAGGATCAGTTTGTGGGCAGCGGTCTTGACCTTTTGGGCTCTGTAGCCTCTGATTTTTTTTGAACCATAGCTGGTACAGAATGTTGCATTCTCATTTTAAATGAACAAAATATCATGGTTTGGTTTTGGTTTTTTGGTGTTGCACAGAGAAAGCAAAATAATAGCACTCTTGAAGAAACAGTGACAGCGCAGTATGTTCCTTTGTTAGAATTCTGAACAATGATACCCAGTAGCCTAAAAATAAAGGTCAAGGAGATTTTTAACCCTCTATCACTGAAAATTTTAACTAAAAAAAAAAAAAAGTTGCAATTGTATTTTTCTCTTAGGTTACTTTGACCACTGGCATTAATAGTAAATTCCCTAAATATTAAAGTAGGAAGACTATTTATTTTTCCTCTGTACACTATATAAAATGTAGAGCTACCTATAAGAGCAGAAGCAGGAGCTGGATTGCATGGCATTTTAAAAATAATTTGTCTTGTGAGTCCAGCTGTCCTTGATGGATAACGGAAGAGTGGAAAAGATTTAAGCAGTGGACTTCAGCTTCAGAGGAGTGGTGCTTTATTCCCCATTCTGACATAACTAGATATTTAACAAGTGTTATTGAGAACAGCAACTGCCCAAGCTCATCGTCACCTAGAATTCATTTCACTGTTGACTCCACTCTGTTGTCCTGGGTGTGGTTAGGGGGAAGCTACCAAAGGTGACTTCTCACTTCTTTGTAAGTGTGTTTATTCATAAATCCTAGGAATTTGGAGTGTTTCTCAGTCCCTGGGTGAGAAGGTATGCTCTGGCTATCTCATGACTGTATTATTGAGGCATATGGACAGGAACAGAGTTTTGGTGAGCACTTTTAGGACACTACAGAAGTCCTGCAGAATTACAGCTGCTGTTAGGGCCCTGGTACATCTCCTCCCTACTTCCCCTCCCCTGGGGCTTCGCAGCATGGGCTCAGGACCAGCACAGGTAATGGCATGGGTGTCCGGCCTTGAAGAGAGCTGTTTGAGAAAGCTCTGCTAGGAAGCCTCAACAGAGATCCCCCCAGTGATGACTCTGCTAGTAAGCCTCAGTGTGGGCTCACTCCACCTTCCAGTCAGGAGTGTTTTTTAAGATGAGTTTCTTGTCCTCATTCCCTACCTGTACTACGTTGTAGCAGCATTGAAGCCTACTGCCCCCTGATCTGAATGTTGACCCACAGACATGATTTCTTGGTTTGCTTCACCTCAGACCTGCATTGTCACTGTAAATCCAGTTGCATGCTGGTCATTGAGCTGTGTCTGGAGCTGACCCTGACTCATTGACTTGGCTTCTTGGCTTAACCTTGAACCTCCCTCACCACTGTGGAGGGGATCTGGACAGTTCAGTGAACCTGCTTACTATCACTGGACCTCATCTGCTCACCTTACTTGGGTATGGTGGGACTGCCTGCCCATGCAATGGTGAGCCATTGCCTCTGCCTGCCTTGTTATCATGCTCAGCTCCTGGCTTCTTGTCCCTTGCAGAGCATCCTGCCCTTGCTGTTCCTTGACAGGTTCTTCATGGAGCACCAATGTTCTGCTTGTCTGCTATTGGAATACTGACTTCACTTATTACTAAGCAATGGCCAATTTAACATTAATTTGCGTAGTACATTCATTAGTCATGGTACCACACCAAACAGTCTGAATCCCAGTGCTAAGAGTTCAAGTTTGCTTGATTACAGCCTAGTTGTGGCTATACCGTGCTCTGAAGTGAATAAGAAATTAGTAGAGGCCTTTTGCTTTGCTCCAGTGGGGAAGACTTTCCTCATGATTCCAAAGCAAATGGGTCTTTGGGCCTACTGCAGCCTAGGAGTGAGGTGGATGCAGAAGATCTTGGGAACTGAAGTTCCATTTCTAGCCAAAGAGTTGCCAATGCATATGCAGCAACAAGGGAGTTATCAAGGTGAGAAACCTGCTTCGGATACTGTTCTTATAGCCCTAAATGGCTTATCAGAAGCCTTTCCACATTCATGGTCGGAAAAGAGGGAGAGGAGTTTAGAAATGTCTGTTCTTTATATCTGTGCAGTCATTGGAGTTCTGCCATAATCATTAGAAGGACAATTATTGTTATTTGTGATGAAGATTTCTGTGTCATGGTGCTTGAACATAGACTGTTTACTTATTTTGTTTAAGCCATTACACAGTCATCAGAAAGGTGACCTTCATGTTCTGCATACGTAAGCCGGACTTGAATAAACAACTTTCACAAAAGCATTGAATTTAAAACTACTTTTTTTTTTTTTCCTTCCAAATAGATGTATATAAATTGTCTTGAAACCACTCTAATTGATGTAGCTGATATTTTGGCAAGGATTGCTGCTGTAGAAGATGGTCTTTCTCTTCTTCTTTATGGAGAAAATGAAAAAAATGCCGAAGAAGATAGGTAAGACTGCATTAATGAATGGCATTAGTGAGTACTTTAATGAATTACATTAGTCTTGAGACTCATTTTCTCTTGTTTCATTTATCTATAACATGATATGTTTTGTTTATGTTTGGAGTAAAATATCTGATTAGCAAGTAAAGTAGTAAATGTTTTAGAGAATGTATTAGGGAGACATTTATGCGTATAACCAGATGAAATGACAATTTAAAGAAATACTTTTATTAAGGGAGATTTCCATGGTTTACTTGTTTTTCTTATCCATGTGAGAGCTTTCCTTTCTCTGAATGTAGTTCTGTTATATTCATAGTGCTGCTGTTCAGGCCAAAGGCCTCTCTTCTCTGTTTTTCATTTGTTTTTAGAATAAATATTAAAAATCAACATACTTTATTGGAAGAATAGATTTAATATAGCATTCACTTTTCAGTACATCTAGTAGAGACAGATCTTGTGTCAGAAGCTGACATTCGTAACAGTGTACCTAACTTAGGATCTGAGTGATCCTATGGGTAGTATATTGTTAGCTGATCCTAAAACTTGAAACAGGGCAGTAAAATTGAGACTAGCCTTTTAAAATATCTAAGCTGCAGGTCATGAAAACATTTGGAATGCATGTCTTCTAAGTGGAGGAATCTCAGAAGTTGTATATGTTTTTAAGTGGGGTTGGAAGTAAAAGATAGTGTTTTGGAGAAAGAGTTGTCCTTTACATTGCAAACCTAGAAGACTTCAGAAGGAGATCTCAGATTGGAAAACGGAAGAATGAGGACAAATTTTGCCCTGTCGTCATATCCTTAACACTGATTAAGCAGAAGCTAAACTGATTGTCTTGTTACTCTTCCCAAGTGGACTCCTATAAAACACACAATCTGTGTAGATTCATGGCCATGTGGGCTGGATGGAAGACAATGGATGTATTTTTGCTTTATATAGACCTCTAGCCAAAGTAAGATCATTCGCTGTAGACTTCTTTTCTTCTGACTGGTATTAAAAGTTATAATATAGGTGGCCTCTCCATAGTGGGTCATAGTTTCTTTGCATAGTTTCTATTCCCCTAGAAAAATTTAAATAACTTTAGTCAGAGGATTTGTTTCAAGGCTTATTGATGACTACAAAACAACATTTTAAAAGTGTTATTTTATTTCTAGGCCTACAGCTGTTCATGTAATTGTTCAGTTTACAAAGAAACTTCTTCATGACGACATTTCTCTTTTATCTGGAGCTGAGCTTTTGCCAGTTGTTAAAGGAGCTTTCATTTTTGTATGCCGTCAGATGTACAGAACATGTGAAGGCCTGCAGATGCTAGTTCCTTATGGCTTGCATGAATCTTTTGGAGAGGCCTGGAAAAAGGTAAATCTTGTTTTGGTTTGGGAAGATTGGGGAAAAAATCTTACTGTAAGAGGTTCAGCTTATGTAATAGTTGTTCTTTACTTCAGGTTGCTTGTATTTAAGTAGTGAGGTAATGCTTGGAATTGTTCTAAAAATGAAGTTTTCCTTTTCAAACTTTCCTTATGTATGAGAACCTAGCAGAAGCTTAGTTTGAGACTTTCATGCCTTAAGATTCAACCAGGAACTCTCAAGATGTGTCGATAGACCTATCATTCATTGTCCTTGATGCTAGAGGTCACTTAATGTTATGACAACCAGTGTCCACCACAGATCTTGTCTTCACTCTTGGTTTGGGATATTTTGAAAGGAAAAACTCCTGAGATGTGGTCTTGGTAATTTTTAGGTTAAGCTAATTTGTTTTGGTGGGAGCTGTGGAGAAAAAAAGGAGATTCCAAATATTTAACTTAAATAGATGCCATTGAAATACTCTCTAGAGACCATAATGAGAAGTACCAGACAGGAGTTCTTGTCTTACCTATGTACTTGGATATCTTATGAAGTGTAGACTCTGTACTTCAACTTCAGTTTGATTGCTAGTCTAATGCTTTTTCTGCATGAAAGAGCTTGCATCCAACAGTTCTGAGTATTCTACTTTCTGTTTATTCTGTTCTAAATCTACTGAACAAGGTATGTGGATCTCTTTATTCACTAAACTTTTCTATTTTCATTGTTCTGATAGCCATATGTAGTGTGAAAATTCTTATTTATTATGAAAATTTAGTTAAGATGGAACAATGACAGCAGATGCTGCAAGAGCAGTTTTCAAAAAGTTCACAGTGAAGTAAAATTCAAACAAATGTTTGAACCATTAAAATAACTTTGACAGCATTTAGGTAAGGGTAGCATACAAAGTTTCAACTTTGGCTTCCAGCTAAACTGAAAGCATATTTAAACTATAGATATTAGAACTCTTTGTGGATAACCAAAATTTAGCTGTGTTGTTTCACTTTATACTGAAAAATGGAACCATCTCTTTTTTTTTTTTTTCTCTTCAGTGATTGTAAAATATTTTCTTAGAGAAGACTCAGGTGAAGCTGGAAGAAAAAATTTGCTAAAAGACTAAAAATTTTTTTTTTGGAGGTGAGGAAGTAGGAGAGAGATTGGATGCTTTGGACTTCAGGAATTGACAAGTTAGTACAGGAAAGTAATTTTCAGCTCTACCTTCTTGAATAGTTTTAAAATTATTTTCTGTCATTGTTCAATTTTAAAACATTTGCAGTTTATAAAATATTTTACCATTTATAGTGTAGCAAAAATGGTGGACTTTGGACTCTAGCCAAACAGTAGTGACAATTTTTTAATGGACAAACTGGTAATTTGTTTCCTCCTCTTTTACACATCTCCTGGAGTTTTAAGAGTGATGGCTAAACAATTTTTTTCTTGGCAGATTCTGCTGGAGTTCTGGGATAGAATTTGAACAATTGGTAATAAGAGAGGAACTTAACAGATTCAGGACAACTGACTAGGTTAATAAAGGAATCTTTTGTGGATCTATTAAATCACATTTATAAGAGTAAATTAATGACTGCTTACTTTCATTTGAATGGTGTAATTTACTTTTTATCCCTAGAAACATAGAACAACTGAAATCATTCATCTTAAATATGCAGTGTTTTTTCACACCAATTATTTTCAAGTATCGTTTAAATTGGAAACTCCCATCAAATATAAAAATATGTATATATATTTATCTATGTCTGTAACTCTAATTATATCCATACCAATATAAATACAGTTATATAATTTGTAGACACCTAAAATGAAAATTGGCAGAATTACTTAATAAATTTGGTATTGAGTTGTTGACTCCAGAGGCTGTTATTTCCATCACCTGTGACAGAAGTGGAGTAAAGAGTCGCTTTCTGATTAATTTTTTTTTTTAATGCCAATTTTTGCTTTGGGAGTCTCCAGTTAAAAAGTAAAAAGAGAGAATTTTTTATTTTAAGTATTCTAATAAAAAATTTAAAGACGTACTAGCTTTAAAAGGGTTTATACCCAAGGAAGAAATAAAAAAAAGAAGCTTTTCTGTACTAAAAAATGTAGTGGAATAGTATGTTCTGTGCCAAAGGCTAGACTACAACCTGATCGCTGTTACTTTCTTTTTTTACTATATAACAAGAGAATGAGCAAGATCTGGAATTTAAAAGTGGTAAATAAATAGTAAGGAGGTGTTTGTTTATTTTTTTAAATTTCACAGACAAGTTTGCTTTCAGAAAGAGTACCCACTCCTGTAACTGGCCCAGACTCGACTTCATCAATAAGTCTAGAGTCAAAAAACATGTAAGTTGATGCTTAATTTATACACATGCACAAGTATGAACACAGACTGCTACTTTATCCACAACTGAGGCATCTTATAACCCTGTGTCTTTTTGCCAAAAGCAAAGTGGTAGGTAGAGGGAGTAAAATCATCCTAGCATAGGTCTCAGTAGAGTTACAAAATTGTTCTTGACCTTTCAGGACTTTCTTGGCTTACAGAGTTGTGTCTAATCTGTGTAAAATTGACTTACAGTTGATTCTTTCTGACTACAGAAATTGATTTGAGGAAAATGTGAATTAGAAAGCATGAAACAAAATAGCTGTCAGAGTTTATCTTACGGCTTTGGTGTGGTGGTAATTTAAAATACTCTTCTGCTGAATGGTACCTACACCTTCAAAATACTATGTTGCAAGATTGGCAGTATTCTGGCTGAAAGCTTGATACATATTAAGTGAAAGGCATCCTTCCTTTTATTATAAAACTTAATGTCCCTGTATAAAAGTTTGTATGCATTAAGATGAGAAATATACCAATATTTGTGAGCCTGAAAATTCAAGGTGATGTTGGTGTTAGTGCAGAACCTAGTTAATTAAATAGATTCTGGTTTATTCTTTACCATAGATTTCAGGTATAATTTACAAAGATACCTCGATGCTTATTACTGTAATCTGTGGTGGTGGCATGTGAACTGGTTATAGCAATTCAAATCTAGTGGCAAAAAGAAATCTAGGGAGGCAGAGCTCTGAGGAGGCTGTAACTAATCACTACTATTGACAAAAGCTACAGTTTCCTCCTAGTATCTAGATTTTTGATTTAACTATGGAACAAGACATGCTGATACATTTCTGGGTGAAATTTTTGCTTCTGTAGATGACGTGGCAGGGATTCTGCAGGAGAAGTGATTAAAGTTTGGGGTAATGGTTGACTGCTATGAGAAAAGCTGCTTGCTGGTGACAGAAGTCAAAAGTGAGAAATGAGAACTAGAGATGAGCATACGATTTTAGAGAAGGAGAATCGCAAGAGTCTAGTGATACCTGCAGGGCTGGTGCCTAGTCAAAGGTGATGTAATTGCTTCACTTTTCTTTTAAGGGCATAGAATATTTTGCAGGGCAGAGGGTGTTCTTGTAATTGCTGTTCTTCCTGCCATGTCTGTAGAAAATATTTTTCATTTACTGCTGTTAGTATGTGAAGCTATTGTGTATATATAGCACCTTATTTTCATAATTCTGTACTAATTTCTAGTAGGAGCCTTTATCTCCTCAAACATGAGTTTTGATTAGATCCTCATAGTGCTTTTACATTGGTGAGAGATTCTGAGACTGCTTTGTCAATTTGTAACTGTCACATTAATGCCTTAAGATTTGTCTAGAGTCAGATAGTAAGTCATAAGTGCATTTAAGGATGGCATAGGTCTTTTGGGTTCCCCATTAAATCATCATTCTGTTCTGTGTTCCTACCTAACCTTAGTTTTGCCAGGATGAGTTTGAATAGTTGTACAAAATACAGTCTAATACATACTATAACTTTCCCAAATACTATTTTTAAACTAATGTAAACATATAGAGTAAACAGTCCAGTGGATGAAATGGTGTTGTTTTTCAAAGTTAGAAATTGTAGTTTTTCTTTTTTCCCCCATGCTTTTTTACATACTTTTTTTTAATTATTATTTTGCTACTCTTGCAGTTTGTTGTGGGAAGAGACTTTGTTAGATGCCTTGCTAAATTTTTCTGCCACACCCAAAGGACTATTTCTGCTTCATGGTACAGGTGCCATGAATGACTGTGTGAACTTTATGTTCAGCAGTTTATCAAAAAAACTCCAGGTAAGCATTACAGAGTCTGTACAGTTTTTCTTTCTTTTAATGATTCTAATAAAATAAAGAAGAAAGAAAATAAAAAGAAAATAAATCCAGAAACCATTCTGTCACTTAACTTTTGCAAAAATTAATTTAATATAGCTTATCATTTTTGATACTGGTGTCACACTGATTGAAGTTTGTTTGGATGTTGGTCATCTTCAGAATATCAGGCATATATTTAGTTTTTCTGACTTTACTGTAAAGTTTGAAGAGCTAGGAAAATTTTTTCTTTTTTTCTTTTAAGTGCAAATTTTTCTACACCTTATTAGTAGGTAGTGTTGAAATCTAGGTATGCTAGACAATACTTGAAATGTAACCAAAAATTGGACAACATGTATTTTAGGAGAAAAAACCATAATGTTACATACATCCTACTGAATGTGTGCAAAGAACATAATACTACTAACATTTTTATTCTTTACTGATATTGCATGTCTCAACCATAATATTTTGCATTTAAATTTTGATAAGATACTTGATAAAGATACTTGGTTTGGAATATGACCCTGGTAAGTCTGTAGAGGGTAATACCCATTAACTGTTCAAGTCTAACCATACAGTGGATCAAATTCTGTAAACAAGTGAAGGAAAGATCAGTATTTAAGAGATCATTTGAGAGTTTCATGCCTTCTGAACAACTAACACAGTGCTTTTATATTTATTACTAACAGACAAATGAATATGAAGAGTTTGGTAATAGAGTGATTGTCGCACAAATGGCAACAACACCAGCAGGTGCAGTAGCTCTACAGAGCTCAGGTAAATTGCACTATTATGTTATTGTAAATAGTTACATACTGTAATCTCACATATGAGAAAAAGATGATGAGAAAGATGTTAAAAAATATCAACTGAGTGGAATAATTACACAGGATTAGCAAAAACTGCTTAGATGCCTATTGATTTCTTCTTGATGGAAATTTATTCTTTCCAACTTTTAAATCATTCACTTATCTTGATGCAGGTTTTGGTTTGGTGTGGTGGTTTGTTTTTTTTTTCCTTAAGTTACACAAAATCTTTACTTCATTGGTTTGTATTTCCAGAAATTTCCTGTATGTGCATGAAAACATTTCTATCTGTTAAAAAATAAGTTGCTAACAATTTGCAAGTGCACCTTATTGATCTGCAGATCAGAATTAATAACTGTTGATTTCTTTAATTTTTATGTACTTTTCCATGATTACTGAGTGTTCAAAGAGTGAGAAACTGCGAAGGCCTGAATGTCATTGGCACTGTTATACAATAGTGAGATGGAATTGAGATTGTCTGAATTGCCAGTTCTTCTCATTTGTCAACCCATACAGCAAAATCCCTTCAGATTCATTCTCAGATAACGCAACTGTTGCCATATGACCCAGTGGTCTAGGTGGTCGTTATGTTAAAACTAGAATCTTGTCAATAAAGCGAAACTACTGTCTTAAGTTGCTAAGGAAGTCCATGAGGTACAAAAGTTGCAAATGCTCTCTCTCAGTATCTAGAAGCGGCTGGTGTGTAATTAAAATGACTTGACTGAAAGACTGTCAGAAAGGCAAGCAAATTCTGCCGGTCAAGGGAACCGATTGTTAGTTGCTTATTATTTATGCCTCTGGGATCTTTCTGAAAGCAGAGAGCAGATCTACTTTAAGAGTAACCTATCTGTCCTGTTTAAGGTTCTCAGTCAAGTTGCTTCTTATGGCCCTTGTCATCAAAGACAAATGGTAGACCAAAAATAATCAGCACTGATTTTCAACCTTGAGAGGAATTTTTGTAATGTACATAAAGTTTGTGTTAAGCCTATAACTTACGTTTGGAGATTTCAGAATTGGATGTCTGTCCTTCTCTTCTATTTTAGTATTTAACATTTTAAATTCAGCTAGTAGTACTTCTTTTAAAAAGATTTTTTTTCAGTCCTTAACTTTTCATTGTGGTATGTTTTTATTTATTAATGAGTTATAGAAGATCTATATTTTTAAAACCACAGAGCCAATGCTAGCTAAGCCTTGATCTGTAGCAGTTAACTTATTAAAGAAGTTTAACGGCTTATTTACATGGAAGATATATAAATATCAACCTACTCTAGTATCATAGTCTTTGCAAACTGTTGCTGTAGATTTTAGATTGAATATAAGCAGACTGCTGTAGAAAGGTAGTTTGACTAAAGGAATGAGAATAGCAGGGAGAGTAACCCTCAGGCAGTCTGTTTTGTGAAATTTTAGTCCACAATGTAGAAAGTTGTAAGAATCTGAGTTAGAATTGTGGTGTAAAATGTTTTCAATATGAAAATTGTTTTGCTATTCTCATGATTAGAACAAAATTTTGTTTTAGGCTTTATAAAGGCACTTGTAACTGAATTATGGGCTCTTTTGGAGTGTGGAAAAGATGATTTGAGGATAACTTATCCCAAATCTACTCCAGTTGACCCTATTGACCAAAGCTGTCGGAAGGTGAGAGATTACTTATTCTTCTGTATTGGCGTGGGAAAAACAGTGCTGTATTTCAGATAGGATGATACGTACCTTTCTATAAATTTATATTGCAACTATACCTGCTTCTTGGCATGTGGGTCAAGATTAGTATAATACACCAGTCAAATTATGACTGATTGAAAGGATTCTTGTGTTGCGTGGCAGGTCACAATGCCAAGGATCCATTAAAGTCAATATAAAATAATAAATAACAATCATGACAAAAGTGGAAGTCTTAAAATACTGACCATCAGCTCATCTCTCTGATTACTGCAGTAAGATCAGGGAGAGTGATGTGTTTTAGAGTATACTGTGTCTCTGGATTTTAGAATTATGTGATAATGAAAATATTAAAATTTTCAAAATTGCTTGTAAAATTTGATAGATAATACATATTTCACAGATACTACTGCCCTTTTAGATTATATACATACCTGCCAGGGTTTGCAGTCTTATTTTGGGCAGCTCTATTTGTGTCAAGTTCAGCCAACAAAGAAGGATAAGAAAAAAGTTAAAGTAAATGGCAAATAATTGTTAATATTTACTTGGTTCTACTTAACTGATTAATATTCCCTTTTGTCCCTCCCCCCCTTTTTTCTCTCTAGTCTTTTCTGTCTCTGATAAACTTGCTCACTTACCCTGCAGTTTTTGAGCTACTGAGTAAACAAGATATACCAAATAAACCAATGTATTCACTCCGTGAAGTACCTACAGATGTTATTGTAAGTATATTTTTTTATTTTGAAAGAAAAATAAATACTTCTGTGAATAAATTTTTCCTGAGAAAATGTTACTATAATAGAATGTTCTTCTTACTGAAAGATTTTGAAATTTTCTGTATTTAGTATTATATACAGCATGAGGGCAGTATATGCACATATCACTTCACGTTAACCTAAATTTTCATTTTGAAATCCTAACAATAATGTAAAATTTGATGCCTGATTTAAAGATCAACTTTCCTGGCTTGTGTTAGAATTGTGTTTTTCCATGGGAAAAAAGTGACATACATAAACACCTCTGTAAATGTGTGCAGTTACATACTGGAAAATGCTGGAAAATATTTATACTTGTATTTTATGTAATACTGCTCTATCACACTATCTATGATTTGAAATAAAAATTTAAAAAAAACAAAAAACAAAACGCAAAAAATCTCAGGCTTTCTTAGTAGCATAGATGATACACTCACAGAAAAAAAACTCACTAATTGGAAAGTTACTGATTAAGACATATTTCAGTCCTAAGAAAAATAGTATCACCATTTCTGTATTTAGTATTGTTTCATATTAGTTCATCCAGCTGCAATCCATTAGTGTTTTTTCTCATCTACAAAGCACAGGCAAATTTAATCTGTGACCTTGAGTGGCAGTTAAAATCAGTTTTTTTCCTAATGAGCTAGCATTTTGAATTGCTGTTGTGTTAAAGTGTTTGTTTAGCACAAACTCTGGATTGGTGATAGTTCAAGTTGTTTAGGCAGAGTATATCATAATAGTGTATGTTATGTTTAGAAGGGATTTTTATAGTTGTTTTTTGTAATACTGTTTTCATGATTTCAGGAGGAAATAGGATGATAAATTTCATTTTTTCAATCCACTTGGTATGTCTACTGATGGATAGTTCTATTCAGTTGTTAAGTTTTCTGAGGCACTGGAAGCAGGGGAGGTAGATGTATGTTGAAGGTGATACATTTTTGAGAGGTTTCAGATTCGGTTAGATCTTAGGTAATGATTTTTGTGACTTTTGAAAGCCTGTGTTGTTTTGGCTTTTGAGGCACTTCAACGTTTTGATGGAATTCTCTAGGTTTCCAGAAATAGCAATACTGATACAATTGTTCAAAGTTCCCTGAATAGTTGTGGATGTTTTGGATGGGGTTTGTTACTTAACTACTGTGCAACGCTGGGTTTTGTAAGCCTAAGCTAGACATCCAAGATTATGTAGTTAACAGAAGGGAAATAGTTTAGCTAATGTTAATTTAACATATAATGGCTAAATCTAAGTACTTGGAAAACTTCTGGGGTTAAGCAGACATATAGATTTGTCATAACATTTTTGGGCAGTGATTGCAGAAAGCTAAAGATAAAAGATTTGACCAGATGTAACCATGGATAAAAAGCAATGTAAAAGCAATTTCGGTACCACTATAGGATTTGGTTAGAAGACCTAATTGCCTTGTGTGCTTCGTTTTTTTCTGTATTTTTGAATCATGTCGCATTGCCACAGAATCTGACTTGTAATATTTATGCTGAGCTATATTTGGTAATGCACAAAACTTAATCATCTTTGTATGCCCTTTATTTCTTAAATACACAAGTTTTCAACTTTTTTTTTTTCCTTCTTTGTATTCTTGACCAACTAGTTGCATTGTTGACTGAACAGTTCCTCAGTTGGACTTTTACTACTTGTAACTGTTGACTAATGAGGTTTTTATTTTGTGGCCTTAGGAAAATTTTTCTTAATATATGCCAGATTTTTTTTTACTGTGTTTGCCATACAAAAATATTTTAGAAAATGGAGCAGATGAATTGGGGTCCTTCTGCCTGCCTCCATTCTTCCTTTGAGAGGTTCTACAGTACACATATGCAAGGGAATTTAACTTGGAAGGTGCCCTCAGACCTGTATCTTTGAAAGACATGTTAAAGCAGGTGAAATTATTATTTTTTTTTTTCATAGTGATTATGGAGAATCTTGTACTTAGATGATGTATCTTAGGTATTCAAAGTAGGTGATATCCTACCTCTAATATTCAAACTATGCTCTGTAGTTCAGCAGAGCAGATCTATTTGCACATTTTTCTGATTGGACCTTGTATTGGACCTTGTTCATTATTTTCCTTCCTAATATCTCAAATCAGAGCTTGGTCTGCTTTCTCAGTAGTCCTCTCTATGCCTGCTCTTTCTACTCTTTTGCAGGCTCTAAACTTTGATGTATAGATGAGAGAAGGTGGTTGTTGCCAGAGAAATATCCCTTGGTATTTAACTCTTTGTACATGCAAATATCTAAAAAACCTTAAACTCCAAACAAATCAATTGCTTGCGTTACCGATTTTATGAACAGCCTTGAGGTCCAAGTTGAATTGTTTTATTGTGAATTTTATTGTGAACTTACTATGTGGAAAAAAGTGTATTCTTCATAGCTGTCTCCACTACCACCGAAAAGAACCTGATAGGGAAAATATGGTTTCACTATATTTTAAATAAGAATGCATTTTATGAAGACAGTTTACTTTGACAAGTTCTAGCTACCCCCTCCCCTCCCCGCGAGTTTTTACTTGTGGTGTTTACTTTTCTCTGTGTTGAAAACCAGAGCTTTGGTTGATTTCATGAAAGTGTGGATGCTGCCTTTTCTCTCATATCATATTGAAATGACTCATTGATCTAACCAGTTGAGTAATAACTTCCTCTGCTGTCTCTGATACTATACTTCTTAAACATGGAGAAAATAAAAGTTTGGATTTAATCCAGATTAAATAAAGCCCATAAGGACTTCGTAGTTTGTTTCTTCTGACCATAGCACAGCAATCTGTCTCCGAGACGATAGCATCAGTGAATGGTTTTTTTGCATTTCTTAGTCTTTTAGTGAAATTATTTCTTCAGAAGCAGTTTGGAGATGCAGTGAACCAGAGGGGAAGATAACTAGATTGGATTTGTGGAAGAAATGGGAAGCAACCATAGCTCATTGTCTTTTGCATGAGATGCTGTAGGATGAAAGATGTCAGCCTCAACATCCAAGCCAAGCCTTGCTACACTGAGAATAAATGGCCGTGCTTTGAAGCATGTAGTACTAGCCAGTTTTAGGGTATTATACTAAAAGATTGGCTTCTTTTCATTAAAATAGATGTATACACACTTCAAATATACAAAAAGCAGTTTAACATTTTTTTTGTGGTTTAATACTAAATAAGAACTAAGATACTTGATATACTAGGATCTTTTTATATGTTTAGTGATTTTTTTTTTTTAACTGAGGTTTTTTGGTTTTTTGTTTCTTTCCCTCTCCCGCCTCCTGCAACCTTCTGTATGGTTTCTTTTCACCATTGACTTTTATGGTGGAAAGCACTTCTTATTACAGAAATAACTTCCGTGTGTGTTTTAATAATAGGTTTCATTTTATAGTAAACATCCCTATGAAACTATTATGTGCATAAAATATAAAATCATACATGAGTTTTTTACATTTGTCTTCCTTTGACAGGATATTATTGACAGGCTTGTAATTTTGAATTCAGAAGCTAAAATTAATTCCTTATTCAGTTATGAACAATCACATATCTTTGGTCTGAGGTAAGATGCTTATTTTTTTTATTCTCTGGTCACATTAACTAAATGGGATATAACATGCTTGGATGTGTTGCTTCTGATAAGATAACATTGTTTGGTTTTTATAATGCATGAAGGTGAAATTCCCAACCTCTTTTTTAACATAAGAATATTAAATGAGAGATGCCCTACAAAATGAGAATAGCGATGAATCTAATCTTGTTACATGTAAATGGATATATTGTAATATGGTAGGCAGTAGTAGAAATTGCATGTTGTTATTTTGCCTAGTTGATTGTAAAGAACATGTGGTACAGCTGTTGTAGTGCATAAAATAAAAATCATACCAAAATAATAACATAAACAAAGTATTTTTTACCATATTTATATCAGAGTTGGTTTATCTAGTCTCCCTGTACTTAAAATTATTTTTTAAAATACTGGTTTAATTATCACCAATTTCACCAGAACTTATTTTGAGAAGGAGAGTACCATTTGATTCCAAATATTTCTAGAACCTGAAGGAACACTTAAAATATGCTCACATTGGCATGATCATGTTTTGTAATATTAAGTGCTTTATAATACTTTAACATAGAAATTAGTTTATGCATTTTTTTCTGTTTTCCGAAGTTGAATATATAAATCCTTGAATTCACATTTTTGTTATTAACATATTTTGTGCAATTGAAATAAGAGATCTGCTGGGTTGTACTTCATGGTATGGAAAACTAATGACCTTGCTTGGGCAAGATATAGCCCAATTGATAAGTACTGCAATGTTAGCTTTCTGCAGCTGTATTTGTACTTTGATATCACAGTAAAATTATTTCATACTATGTATGAATAACCATGATATACAGTCTGATTTGCTGATAAGGCTGAGCATGGAGGAGATGAACAGTGGCAGAATTTGGAGTTGGGAGTTACGAAATTTTGTCATATAAATCAGAAGTTATAAATGCTGCTTTGGAGGAAATCACTAGTTGGATAGGAATGAGAAGTCCTAAGATGAAATTTGAAAAAAGAGATTATTCTTCATTTAGGATTATACTGACTCCATAAAAAGCTTGACAGAACTCCCATTGATTTAATTAGGGATAAGGGAAAGTGAGATGGTTTACAGTTTAAAATAATAGTTTGCTTTTAGATTGTTTCACAAGGTAAAAGAACAGATTTCTCCTACAATGATATTAGGAACCTTTGTAAGGTATAGGCAAAAACAAATTATTCAATCTGACTGCATAAGCGGTTGACTCCCATGCTGTAAGACAGAGACACAAATACATGGATCATGTGTAGAAGTTGTGTTGAACGCTTACAATATTTTTAACAAGGCCTATACCCTGTGAAGCAACAGAACTACCCAGAAGTACACATATGAGCAATGTAACAAGCTCATCTGTAATCATGTAAAAGAAGCTATATTGTTACACAGATAAGATGAGCTTTAGAGTTTACTGTGGTAATGACATTTCCTGCTGGACACTGACGAAGTCAAAAAACAAGTGAAAATCCAGTCAAACTGCCAGATTTCAAGAAAAGATTAAGTAGTGTTTTCAGTGTGGAAGCCTACTCATAAAAGTGGTGGATATCATAATAATTAAGTAGTAATCAGATGAAGGAAAGTTTTTTAAAACATTTAATACGATTTTCAATAGAGACTTTGTGTTCTGCAGGGACTTTTGGAATCTCAGTGATACCTAGGACCTATATTTTAACTTCATTTTTAACAGATTCAGTCTTTTTTTTTTTTTTTTTTTTTATTGTTCAAAAGCCCTGTTCCCTTCCCCTCTGCTTTTCTTTGCCTTTCCTGTAAAAGAAAGGAAGATACGATTCTAGGGATTTTAATATGAGCCTGTGTATACCACAGATACTGTAAGAGTGTGTTTTCTTCTTGATTAAATGGCTTTTCATGAGCATGTGGGACTTGCTTTACAAATATTTTTTGCAAATAATAGAGAATTGCCACATATAAGCCTTTTATTATGACTTATTCAAATATCTGCACAAAGAGAATTTTTATTCTTACGTATTTATTCAAAGTTTCTTATTAAAATGATACCAGAATTCTGGTTGATTCTGGAAGTTGTCATGCTTACTGTATTGTTTACAGTATTAAGACTTGCAAGAAATCCTAGGCTATATTATCTGAATATGAGAGATATACAGTTCATTTTAAATACCTTTTGAAACCAAGATCCATGAGGTTTTCTGTGAGCACTGCTGAGTGCAGACATCAGTGTTCTGTTAAGTGAACCTTGCCTTGTGTAGTTGGTTTGCTCCTTGATCAAATTCCATCAAGAATACCAAATTCAGCAGCAGTTAGATCAAATCATATCAAATGCTTAATAGTTCTGAAAATTTAGAAAGTTAGAGCAAAAGACCTACATTTCTCTTTGCTGCTGTGTAGAAATAAAATATTTTAATGTTTATAACCGCAACATTGAAAGACTGGACCGTTTTGTGACCGAATGTTATGTTGGTGAAACATTTGTCTAAAAACATTTCTTTCTGCTGGACTTAATACCAATAATATGGCCAAACCCACATTCTTTTAATTGTTCATAGATCTACATAACCATATACTTTGTTGTTTGTACACGTGGCTCACCCAGAGCTGAATGCTGAACAGATCTGTTTAACTTATAGGTTATACCCTGAGGTCCTGTAACCCACTTTTATTGTTCAAAAGAGTTACAAATTTGTTTACTTGAATGTTAAGCAACTTCTGCAATTTAGAACTACAAGTGTACCCACTGTTCTTATATGTTATTGGATGTGAGAAAGATCAGTTTTCATAAAGGTGTCGCACCAGAGATCTTAACCACCTCCTGTTCAAGGCCAAGCTCTTTGAATCTCTGTAACTTATATTAACAAAGGAATTAAGTACGCAGCGGTAACATACTTTTTCTTTCGGACTGCTGAACTATGTGGTATCAAGGCAACTTATCTAGGATTTCAGTACAGTGAATACATCCATGAGTTGTGAGTTTTTACAGCCTGCCAAGAAAATATATGCATTATATATATATATATATTTTCAAAGCCTGTGCCTAAAGCGTTATTCAGGCATTTACATATTGCTGTTCTCTCTATTCAGAAACAGAGTATTCTGTGAATGTTAGTGACACTGTTGTTAGCTGGATTAAAGTGTGGCAAGGTACCAAATTTTTACCTTCGATAACCAACCTCCGATCCCTAAAAAGTATCAATATGCCAAATTAAATTCAAGGATGCTCCATCAGTGTTGGCTTGCATCAAAAAAAAAAAAGGAGAAACAGCGTTACTGGGAATAGGCTGTGGGCAGTGGGAGGGGATCAGAGTTGGTCTACAGGCAGCTTTGCAAAAATTCCCCTCCTTTAACAGCGTACTTTTGTAACACCTACTGGTCCTGGAAAATTTTTTTCCCTTTTTTTTTTTAAATATATGATGATATCACAGTAATAGACATATGAATACTTTAAAGAGGGGGAAAAAAAAGCCCACCTTTCTTTCTTTGTCTGTCCATGTATACATATGCCAGTATAGAATTTTTTCCTTGTTTTTCCCCCTAGTGGCTTGTTTTGGCCATAAGTCAATAAAACTCCTAAACATTGTGAGGTCAAAAGATCTTTTGTATGTGCATTCTGAATCAGAAGAACCTTTGTTATTCCCACACTTGTTCACTGAAATGCCTTACGCTAGTGGGCATCAAACAAGGACAGCACTGTGTTCAAGACTTTGCTTTCTGCAGGAAAATACCTGGAAAACTCTGAGTCTATCCTTTTCCTTCAGATATGCAAATTGGGACTGTTTAATTTTGAAGACACAATGTGCTTGCTTAGCGTTAGAGATATCTGAAGATAATGTATTTTGTAGAATTGTAATTTGAACTGCAGTGGAAAACAGACTTATTTTAGGCCTGTGTAAGATAAGGCTGAAAAAAGAGTATTTATTACAATGCTCTGTGTGACTCATCTAAATGCATTTATGATTCTGTGGAATTATAGCATATTGTAAATATTAGTCTAAGTCACGTGTGCAACAGTATCAGCCCTAGGATTGTAGAGGTACAGAGCCTGCTACAGATAGAAAAAGAATATTGGCTTGTTATTTTCAGAGTTGTATAATAAATATTTTGACATTAAGTGACATTTTTTTGTCATATAAAGTGTCATGATGAATATGTTTTTTCTTACTCATTTTCTTGCTTGCTAAATAGGTGCAGAAGATGATAAAAATGCATTGTATCTATTTCTGTTGGCCTACAAAACTAGTAAGAGAAAGGTTTAGGAAAGAGAATATAAATGGCTTGTACTATAATGACATCAAAATCAATCAGCATCTTGAAATTTGCCTCAAAGCAGTATATATTAGGCAAAATTTAATCTAGCTCACTCCAGTGAAATCCAGGTGAATGAATTCATTCCTACAGGAGCAGGGAGATGAACAAGCATGTGATAGGCAAGAAATGACTTTGTGGGTTTAGGAAATACAGATAATAAACACTCCTGCATGCTTTTCCATTGTGTTTTCATCTGCATTGTAAACGCATCCTCTTATATATAATTGCATTTTAATAATGAGGTAGCTTCAGCATATGAAATAATTTGTTCCCTTAATTGTACTTACATTGTGTGCATTGTTAATTAAGAAAATGTGTGATTTGAATGATTGCAACATAATGGAAGGAGCGTTAATTATCTTGTTTTCTAAAGGTGGAAGATATGAATCCTGATCATTCTTTTTTCTCAGGTCAACATGCTATTTAGAGTTATCCTCTCTTTCTGTTTATTAAAAAGCATTATGATTAGCAGAAGCTTATAATTCTTTAAAATCTTATTCATTATAAATTGAAGCAAGACTTCTTATTCAAAACTGGTTTTAAACATGTTCAGTTTCCCCTTCAGAAAACATGGCATTTTTTTACTGGTTTCATGTTTTCTTTTCCATCTTCCTTGCAGAGCCAGAGGCAAGGCTATACCTCTTGCTTTTCATATATCTTTATCTTCAACATACTGTCATAGCCTATAAACACTGTT